GTAATGTTCAAAGTAGGTAGATGTATTGATTTGTATGAAAAGTAGTGACTTCCCTCCAGTGTCAGGCTTTCCAAACGGCAGCAACAGCCGGATCTAGCCAGGTGGAGCCAGGGCCAGCCAGGCTTATTAGTGAGGAATCGGATCCGAAGCAGAGTGACTGGGTCTCGGATGTGGGACACGGACATCCCCATGATGCCTTAAGCTCTTGTGCCATGACACCTGCCAATGAATCATGACCGTGTAGTAATACATTTGGTGTTGGAAGCAGCTTACAAAGGAGCTGTTGCGGGTCCAGCGCTGTGGCCTAGCGGCTAAAATGCTCGCCTTGCATGCCCAGGATCCCGTATGGGCACCGCTTCTAATCCCAGCGGCTCCACTTCCCATCCAGCTCCCTGCCTGTGGCCTGGGAAAGCAGTTGAGGACGGCCCAAAGCCTTGGGACCCTGCACCCGCGTGGGAGACCTGAAGGAAGTTGCTGTCTCCTGGCTTCGGATCGGCATAGCATCGGCCGTTGTGGTCACATGGGGAGTGAATCATCAGATGGAAGATCTTCCTCTCTGTCTCTCCTCCACTCTGTACATCTGACTTTCCAATAAAAATAAAATAAATCTTTTTTTAAAAAGTTAAAAATTAAAAAAAAAAAGAAGCTGTTGCTGTTCTGTTCATTTTACAGATTAGAAAACACTGATGAATAACTACATACCTTGATCAAGGCGACACAGTAAACCAGAAATAATGCGAGACTTCAGTCTTGGAGCAAAATATTGATTCCCCAAACCTGGGGGGAATTGCCTCTGTTGGAAATGCTAAGCAGCGTATCAGAACGGAAACAAGACACATTGGAAATTAGAATGGTACTAGAGTAATTGCTGTTTTTTATGTATATATATATATATATGAGTTAATTATTTTTAAGGATTTATTTTATTTATTTGAAAGGCACAGTAGCAGAGATCTTTGATACACTTGTTCATTCACCAAATGGCTACAGTCGAGGAGACTGGGCAAGATCAAAGCCAGGATCCTGAGGCTCCCTGCAGGTTCCCACCTGGGCATCAAGGACCAGGAGAGGGCCGTCTTACACTGCTTCCCCAGGAGTGTGGGTGGGGAGAGCATCCAGGCCAAAACCAGCGTGCCACTCTGGGATGTGTATGTTATGGGTGCTGTCGGCCTGCGCTTCATGGCTGCTGCAGGCTAGTCCTTACCAGCGTGCCACTGTGGGATGTGTGCGTTGTGGGTGCTGCCGGCCTGCGCCTCATGGCTGCTGCAGGCTAGTCCTTACCAGCGTACCTCTGTGGGATGTGTGCGTTGTGGGTGCTGCCGGCCTGCGCCTCATGGCTGCTGCAGGCTAGTCCTTACCAGCGTACCTCTGTGGGATGTGTGCGTTGTGAGTGCTGCCAGCCTGCGCCTCATGGCTGCTGCAGGCTAGTCATTCTTAGAGCTTGGATGCCACCACATTGTTTATTCTTATTGGGGACAGTATAAAGTGAAAACTGTCAAATAATAGCTTTACAAAACATTTACCCCAAAGACCTATTTATTGCCTGTTATAATTGAGACAGGAGTACAGGTTAACAGTAAACTTAAATATATAAATGTAGCAGTGACTTAACATATTTTGAAAACAGCCCATTAGTAAATTAAATTACATAAATCAAAGAAATCTGTGTTAACTAGTAATCTTATTGCTGGACAAAGTAAATGAGTCTGTCAGAAAGCTCTGGGAGTGGCTGCAGAATCCAGGTACTGACACAGTCCCAAGGCAACCTACTCTTACTGTTGATATGCAAATTATGTACCCTGCATTTGCAGCTGAGGATCCAGATAGCTGATGAGATAAGCAGATGAATAAATTTACCCACTTTAAACTTAATTCATAGAAGCTAGACCATTTTCTGACCACTAGACAGTAACACGTGATAGTGTTAACTCGTAGAGAAGACGGACGTTAAGATGCACATGTGCATACACATACTCTTTTGGAGACAAAAAATTGTCATCCGAGCTTAGCAGTAGTAGTGATCGCTAGGAAGCAGTAAGTGAAAAGCCATTAAGTCAGTAGTCCGGACCCAAGACCCTAAGAGAAAAAAGTCATCGCTGTGAAATCCCTCCGTGAAGCTGAAGATCTGAACTTCAGTCTTCCCTGTGATGTAGCTATCCTCAAATGCGTAGTGAACAACCAGGTAGACCTGTAGAGCCAAATCATTAAAAGCGTGCAAACTACAATCTTCACAACTGCATGGATGTATACAACATTTTGTCACAAAATTTTACTCCATTTGGTAATAATCTTAATATAATCCAATCAACCTTATCTACAGGTCTCCACAAAATGGGAGATAAATCCATTGGCATTCTTGAGGCCATGTAAGAATACCAAGGGAAACCCTAGGATTCGAAACCTTTGCATTCTTGGATGCCTTTTTAAAGGTGGCTAAAAACATCTAGAACAAGATTTTTGTTGTTGAAGTTAGCACAAAACATTATAGAGTAGACTCAGTTATTGACATGACATCATCAAATACCTCTGAAACAAATACAAAACCTTTACCAAATCAAAGGAATAAAAAGTTTGATAACTAGTGGAGACAATGAATAGCACATTAATTTAACTTGTGCCTGGAAATAGTTTAATAGTGCCTTAGAGTTTAATTCTATGCCAGGTTATTTATGATAAAATTCCATATTTTTGAAAATATCACAAATGAAACTCTAAGAGTTACAAGAGACAAATATCTTCTTTGAATTCTAAATTCCCAAAAGTTGCTATGGCTATACAGATGAAGTCAGCTAGCTAAACATTTATCACAACAGAAGACCTTCCAAGGTAAAATTTGCAAGATTAGAGAACAAGTTCTGTAAAATCGTTCCTTTTCCTTGACTTTTTCTTCTTTATCATTTATAAAGATGTTTAAAAACTGGGTGACCAGGCAACAGAAAACTCAAGAGTCAGGTAATGGGAAGTCTGGATGAATCAAAAGAAGGCCAAGTTGGGCCTGGTGTAATAGCGTAATGGTTAAGGTCCTCTCCTTGAACGCGCCGGGATCCCATATGGGTGCCATTTCTAATCCCAGCAGCTCCACTTCCCATCCAGCTCCCTGCTTGTGGCCTGGGGAAGCAGTCGAGGACAGCCCAAAGCCTTGGAACCCTGCACCCGCATGGGAGACCCAGAAAGAAGTTCCTGGTTCCTGGCTTCAGATTGGCGCTTCATTGGGGAGTGAGTCATTGGACGGAAGATCTTCCTGTCTCTCTTCTTCTCTGTTCATCTGCCTTTCCAATGAAATAAATAAATCTTAAAGAAAAAAAAAAGGCCGGGTTAACAAAATCCACATCCCAAGAATTGCTATCAGAGCAAGCATTCAGCCAAGCTTCCAATGGGCGGGGTCTCACATTCCTCCCATTCAAATTCAACATAGGCAGACTGACTCTGCACTTTTTTTTTAAAGATTTATTTTTATTATTTTTTTATTGGAAAGGCGGATATACAGAGAGGAGAGACAGAGAGGAAGATCCTCCGTCCGATGACCCACTCCCCAAGTGAGCGCAACGGCCGATGCTATGCCGATCCAAAGCCAGGAGCCTCTTCCAGGTCCCCCACGTGGGTGCAGGGTCCCAAAGCCTTGGGCCGTCCTCAACTGCTTTCCCGGGCCACAGGCAGGGAGCTGGAAGGGAAGTGGAGCTGCCAGGATTAGAACCGGCGCCCATATGGGATCCTGGGTGTGCAAGGTGAGGACCTTAACCACTGTGCAATCGCACTGGCCTGACTCTGCACTTCTGATTCCAAGACTCTGGAATTCCTATGCCTCGTGGCCACATACACATAAACAGCACTGGCTAGGGGCTCCACAAAAGGCAAACGTCCTCTAACCACGCACAGGGCTCACACAGCCCCCAGCCAAGCAAGTAAGGCAGAAACCACAAAAGTGGAAAACACTTAGGTGCTTCATCTCCATGACACCAGCTATATTATAAATGCCCAGTAGCCATGGATGACACAAGTTCTTGAACATTTCCCTTGTCCCAGGAAGCTGTAGTGGCCCAGCATGGCTTAGGCACTCGCCTGCAAGGTGGTGGGAGCAGGCACAGACTCTGTGAAATGGTGCTTCAGCAAGAGCTGCACATTTTTGTTTGTCTTTTTGGATATCTTTGTTTGAAAGGCATAGTTGCAGAGAGAGAAGACGCACTGACAGAGAAAGATCTTCCATCTTCCATTTGCTTGTGCATTCCTCCAAGTTGCAGCCCGCTGGGCCAGCGCCAAAGCCCTTTGTCCCCGTCTCCCATGCCTTCGTCCCCATCTCCCGTGTACTGAGGCCGCAGTCTCTGCTGCTTTGCCAGGCTCCTTGGCAGGAGCAGCAGGTCGAGCAGCCAGGCCTCGAAGGGGCACTCCGAGTGCCTGGGACACGGGCTCTGACTCAGGCCACAGCGCCACTCCTGCCTGGCTTGTGTCAGCTGAAGTAGCTAGACTGTGTCTGTTGTTTGTGGTAACAGAGTACAAGCCCTCAGGTTGTTTTTCTTTTTTTTTTTTTTTCAGATACTGGGTCTAATATTTGTTTATTTGAAAGACAGAGGGAGAGAGAGAAAGATCTTTCGTCTACAGGTTCACTTCAAGTGACCGCTGGGACTGGGGCTGGGCCAGGCTCAAGTCAGCAGCCAGGAGCTCCTGGCAAGTGTCCTGTGCTGTCACGGAGCCTGAGCCCTCAGGCCACCTCTGCTGTGTTTCCAGGCACCTAAACAGCAAGCAGGATGGGAAGTGGAACAGACAGGATTCAAGCAAGCACCCGTCTGGGATGCCGACATAGCTGGTTGCTCTACCCGCTTTGCCACACTGTTGCAATGCCCTCAGATTATTATAAGTTACACTAATATCTCTGCTTTTTGGTAGTAATTAGCTTCCTATTTGGTTCTCTTTGTGACAGGTAGAAATAGATTTCCCTGCTCGTAGTGCCGATGTTTGCTTAACCGTATGTATTCTGTGTTGCTCCTTCGGCTCCCCTGGCACAGGTAGAAGAGTCAGCAGTGATGGGGGTAAGTGGTTATGTGGAGTATCTCCGAGAACAGGAAGTGTCCGAGCGATGGTTCCGGTATAACCCCCGGCTCACTTGCATCTACTGTGCCAAATCTTTCAACCAGAAGGGGAGCCTGGACCGCCACATGCGCCTCCACATGGGCATCACCCCGTTCGTCTGCCGCATGTGTGGCAAGAAGTACACGCGCAAAGACCAGCTGGAGTACCACATCCGCAAACACACGGGCAACAAGCCCTTCCACTGTCACGTGTGCGGCAAAAGCTTTCCCTTCCAGGCCATCTTGAATCAGCACTTTCGCAAAAACCACCCTGGCTGTATCCCCTTGGAGGGGCCCCACAGCATCTCCCCTGAAACAACTGTCACATCTCGAGGGCAAGCCGAGGAAGAGTCGCCTTCACAGGAGGAGACGGTGGCTTCTGGGGAAACTGCCCAGGGCTCTGTGTCCACCACTGGGCCTGACTGAAAGCGTGAGGGGGGAGGGCAGGCCCTCCCCCCTGTGGGCCGAAGCAGCCCGCATCAGGGCCTAGGCTGGTACTTTGATCACAAAATGCCACAGCACTCGACCTGAAGATGCTCCGGAGATGTTGCCAGACTGGGCGGCCAGCCAGGTCCGTAGAAAGGCTCTTCCCCTCCTCTTCCCACCTCACACTTCGGAAAATAATCAAGCAAGTTTAACTTCTAATTCAGGGATCAACAGCCTTGGTTTGTTAACTTTCTAAGACAGGAGTTTTTTTATGAAACAGTGGTGAACAGTCATTTACCTACCAGTCACGTTTGAACACTGTCCTTGGTCCATATCATCCTGGTGGCTGCAATGGCCCAGACCTGAAAATGCAGCGGGAGCCTTGGCCGGCAGGAGCAGCCCACCGAGAGAGGAGGCAGTTCCGGGGTGAGGGGCCATCTCTCCGCTTCCTTCCCTGCCAGACTGCGTGTTCATATTTCAGCAGGAAGAACAAATGCCGGCGATTGTTCAGGGTCTGCCTTTGTGTTTGCCCTGAGTAGGCATGTCGAGCTTTGCCTGTTTCGTGCAGATAACCGTCTTAGAGCAGTGTTGAGCAGGCAGCAACACCTAAAAGGCACTTTAGGCAACCGGAAGTGAAGAGAGCCACAGCGCCGGCAGTCGGTCGTGCTGCATTCGGGGCTGGAATGTGGAGTGTTCTCCGTGTCCCACAGCGCAGAGCCGAGCTGCAGCTTGCTGACTGGCGTAGCTGTAGCGTTGCATCCTCTGTCGTTGGGACTTAGCTCTAGTTCCGATTAGCTAATGGGTTAGGCTGAGTACCAAAGTCTCCTCTAGCCGCCTTGGCTCCTGTATCATGTAACAGCAATATTCTACATCACAAAGGTCACCTTCCAGTGAAGCGAGCCTGGATCGTATTTTTAAATCCACAGGTCTCCCTATTTGATAACTTTTATACGAACTTTAAATCATATTTTTCATGGAACATTGTGGTTGAAGAAAAGCAGCATCATGGTTCTTGCTGCAGCCACAATGCAGTTTCCTTCTACTTACGTAATAATTTGTATCTTGAGTCCAACAGGAGAACCTCACTTAAATCCATGTTTTGGGTCTCAAACCTGGTAATTCATGAACCAACCATCAGCACATTGCTGGTGACTCCAAGAGCTTTGATTTTTAACAATACACTACAGGGCACTTACCACCAGGAAACATCATGCACAATCATGTTGCAATAAATAATCAAGGGATTGATTTTGATCAAGTTTAGTTACTTAATCATTCCTAAGATTTTTTTTAAAACTTCAAGGGACCTTTGTAATAATTGGAGATATTTCTGAGATTCTTAACACAGAGAACTTAATGTGGAACTTGAGTTGCGTCATAGTGAGGAGGGATGTTGAAGGATGCAGCCAGCAGATGCTCATGACTTACAGTGCGAGCAGAAGCGCCTCCAGCCCTCAGCATCTTTGCGTAAGAAGTTGTGTGGCTGCAGAGGCGTGGATGACTTTAACGTGGGTTTGAGAGGGGAAGGGCTGATCTGAGAACGTGGTTGCGTGGTCCTTCCTGAGAGTGCTTTATGACATGTGCAAAGGTGGTAGAAAAGAATGACATTTCTTTGACGATAAAAAGTCCGAATGCAAAGGGCAGCTCCTCAGCAGTCTGACCCTCGCACGTGTGCACCTGCAGCGTGTCCTGTCCTCTTCTGGAAAGCGTAGATGTGTCTTATAGGAATCCGCAGGTGCTGCCCTTGGCAGGGACTTGCCTTCATCTCCAGGCGGCATCAACTGGGGTCTCTCTCCTGAGCTTGGCAGCAGCATCAGAGCATGAAACCTGTCTCCCAGATCTGTCTTGGGGACTAACTGTGCCCTGTGACCTGGAAAAGGTGCAGTTAAAATTATATTAAAATCATGAAAGATTCACTTGAAAATCAAGGATTTCTTTGAACAGATTGTTGCCATTCATAATCGGCAGGGAAGGGCCTCAGGAGAAGCATGGGGTATGCTGCTGCCAGCCTCCCAAACCAATGTTAAATCCCTCTTACTCTTGATAAATAGTGTGCTAGAAAGGTCTTACTGCATCGCTTTTCTCCTTTCTTAGATTATGTGTGGGGAAATGGAGCTCTTGAAGCTGCTGCCGAATTGTCATGGTGAAGTGTCATTCATCAGTACTGCTTCTAAATGAGGCAGATTGTCTGAGTCTGTATAGAAATGGCCAAGTGTTTCTCCCCTTCTGTTCACTTCTCGTAGGTTTCTACTATACTGATACTGTGAACATGGTGCTTCCTGGAGCCCAAACTTCGTCAGCCAATCATGTTTGCTTATTCTCTCAGTTGACCTGACCAGAGCCAGAAATTCAGCAGAATTCAGAGCTGTTTTCTAAATAAATTACTAGGAAAGCGATTCTCCCATTTTGGTGAGGAGAGATGGCTCTGTATATTTGCCCAGATTCTTGTGCAGGCACACTGTGAAGCTGTCCTTAGCTAGCAGCACTGTGGAATTGTGGCAGATGCTCAAAACGCATTACCAAATCTTGCACATGTCACCTTGATAAGGGAACTACATTAGCAGTGAGAGCTAAAATCCTCGTGAAGTGCTTTATTGCCGTGAAGTCGCCAACATTGGTAGCATTGTCACTTGCTGAGTGTCAGTTAATAGCATGGGAGCGGTCCGGGGTTCACAGCAGAAGTGAGATGGCAGGGAGTGAGCTGCTCCCATCCTGAGATGCACATTTGATTGAATCCCACGCCAGGATGAAATGCAGATGGCCTGAACCGTGACACGGAACTGGGGCAGAAAAGCTCTTCCTAATGATTCGTTCTCTCTTTATTCAGAACCATATTTACCTCTGAGCTGAGCTGAATTTTATCTTATGTAAACTGCAAACTACCCCATGCAATTTTGTTATGGTAGAAGGTTAAACGTAAATTTAAATACGTAACAGGAATTAGTTTGTGAAGGCTAAAGATTGGAAAAGTAGAACTTAGTTAAAGACATTTGTCTGTCTTGAGGGCAGTTTTGGGGGTTCCGACTCCCTCTGCGTCAGTGAAGCGTCCTTCCAAAGATGGTGTGATGGACAGAACGAGTCTGTTTTCACTTCTCGGCTCTGGCTTTGGATGGCAGTGGTCTAGTAAAAGAGTAAAATAGGGACCTTGCGGCTGAATCGCCTGTCGCCAAGAAATGATTTTGGGCAAGTTTTAGCTGTTATTTGGTAGTTACTGTGTTTCTTTTCACTGGAGAAAGCTTTTTTTTTTTTTTTTTTTGCTTTACTGGAAAATCTGATTGAAAGATGTTAAGGCAGTGAATAATGGAGGGGAGGTTGGACAAAGGCAGAGCCTTTCCAAATCAATGTGGGTTTGCGTTTCATTTGAAATGAGTTGAAATTCTGGAAACTTTTATTTTTTCAGATACAGTTGACCTGAATCTTTTTTTTTTCTCTCAAATGCCCTTCCCTTTTCTGGATACTTATTTGTTCAAGAAATAAGTATATTGAATTTAGCCATTGAAGATAGAACTCCTAAGTTATAAGGGAAAGAGTTTAAAATATTGAACTGCTTTGGACCTTAGATTTAGAAAAGGAACTCTGAGATGTTGCCAGTTAAATCCTAAGTGTGCGAACGTTTCCCTTATCAAAAATACACCCCAGGCCTGAGGTGTGGGTCACTGCTGAGTCAGGCCGCCTGTTTGTGTTTAAAAAACAGTTGTAAGAGAGCCACCCCAGTTCGTCATGTATTATGGAGTGACAAAGATGAGTGCGTGGCCCCCCAGTGCTTGAAAATCTTCATCGTATAGAACCTGACAAATTCCTCAGTTAGATTTGGTGACACTAGCCCCCAAATATTGTCATCCGTAAGTGCTGTGTCGAGGTTTGAAATTCATACTGTCACATACGTACCAGTTTCTCTTTAAAAACGTGCCGTCCTTTTCACACTGTCTTACAACCTCCGCTTCTTCCTAACGCCCACTGCGTCTGGGAAAGGCCCTTTCCTTGGCCTTGCCCCAACGGCACGGGAAGTTCCAGTCAGTAATTATAACATGATCATCTTAAAAGTAATTCAGGCATAAATTAGCACTAAATGGGTACCTTGTCCAAATAAAATATTGTTAAAAATTCATTTTTAAATAAGATTTGCCATTCATCTTAAGTTAACCTGAACCAGTTTGCAAAAATTTATTCCCAGTTAAATTAATATTAAAAGTTAAAAATAATCTCTTATGAGTAAATGTTTCAATTCATATCTGAGTTATTATTTTTCCAAATCAGAAGCCTCCGCCCGTACGGGGAGGGGTTGGGGGATCCCCAGAGCCTATTAAACTGTGTCACATAATGCAATATAATTAATAAGATATATATATATATTTTTTAAAAAAAGAAGCCTCCGCCCCTTCCCTGTACTGTATATCTTCATTTTAATTTCTTCAGTGAATTCACTGTGTCCCAATGCAGAAGAATAAAAAGCAAATTCTCCTTTCCCCCCTGATTGTTTTAAAATATAATGAAACATGAGGATTCCAGATTCTTCCCTGGCCTATCTTCCCATCTTTTTAAATCGTAATTTTTCCAAGTGTATATGGAAACATTCTGTATTTGTGAGTGTTCACTCTTAGTATTCAGATGGCTCATTTCTACCACACGTGGCAAACAGTGACGTGTCAGCGTGCTGAAATAGAAAGCCCCTGAGTAAATCTTTGAAAAAATCACTAGAAACCCTTGCAAAAGGAGAAATGTAACTGCTCCCTGCTTGGCAGCCCTAAGTGGACATGTGAGCCCGCGCGTTTCCCCGAGTGTCTCCGTGGACTGTGAGCCCGGTGCGTCTCCGGGCAGCTGTCTGAAGTGGGGCTGAGAGGCGCAGGGGCTTGGTGTGTTCCTTCCGAGCTCAGCAGCTTGAGCCACAGTGCGGCTGAGTGAGCGGCGGCCTTCGTGCGCCTCTGCATTCGTAGAGCCGCCTTCTGCTGATGGGACGAGCAACAGCTCGTCTCTGTGAAGTTCCAGAGCTGTGTACCCACAGGTCACCGTGAGTTCTTAGTAGTTTGCAGTGTTTTCTGATTAATCTGGGTGCAGGGCTTAAAGAATCTGGATGTAAGGAGCGCAGTGAGTCATCTGCTCCATCCCATTCTCCCTGGGGTCTGGGGATCTGTCAGGAGCGGTGGGGGGTCCCGCTCAGGGCTGCTTTGCTCATCTTCTGCCCTGTTCCCTTTCTGCTTTCCAGTCTTTCTCTTGAATCTCCATCAGTGGTGCTCTTCTCATGGCCAGTGTTTTTACTTACAAGATAAGTAGGCGTTTCTTGCTCAGGACAAACCAGCATTAGATGTCATAAGTACGTTGAAGACATCTGAATCCGTTACATTCCAAAGGTTAGAATTGCTGATGGAGGAACGGGCCTGCCGCAGGCGCGTGGGGTCTGCAGGTCCCAGTGGCCTGTGTGAACCTGCTGTTTCCTCAACTGTGACACACAGCAGTGACTTTAGAAGACAGGTATTACTTGAAATTCACATTTTCTTTATAGGGTACATGTATATAAGTAAATTTCGTATCTCACATCTTTTGCATTATCTATGTAATAAAATTACCTCCTGTTTTAACACAGCTGAAGCAAGCTTACTAGCCCAAATAGTGGAAGCTTTAAACAGCAGAATTGGGAGAGACGCGTCGTGTAACTTTGAGACATCCCTGTGCTTGCTCCTCCCTGTTTGCTCAGTAAGTCCTTTGATGGAGCTGGAATTCAGCACCTGGCAGGAGACTGCTCTGCAGGTCCGTGGCTGTGACCCCTGGGCTCCGAGCGAGCCGGCATGCCGGGAGTGGGAGTCATTCATGAGAACTTATTTTGTTTTCTGTTACTTACCTATCTTCAGCGATAGATGATGTATCCGATAAACTGTTCGATTCAGTAAATGTTTTAATATTTTCTGGTGCCGAACAACAGGCTTGGAACTTTCTGTTGAAGCTGGCGTTAGACACAGTTCAGAAGTGGCTTTCTAGACCTCAGAGTCCTAACTGGACTTGACTGGACTTGACTGAGATGCATACTTTTTTAAATCCTGCACTTTTTACCGTAGGGATAAAAATCAAAGAAAAGAGATAAGAATTCATAGGAGTGCTTTTCCTGTATCGCCCAAGCTGGGCTCAGGAGGTCCCTGTGGGGCTGCACTGGCAGCACTCACAAGAGCCGGCTCTGCTGGGTGCGTGTGCCAGGCCCGCGGCTTAACTGCTGCATCTTAGGACGGACCTTGAAGCCAGCTGTGTGCCCTCACGCCAGTGCTTAGGAGACACAGCTTGACTAGGCAGTCCAGCAGCAGAGTTGACAGAGAGACTGTGCTCCCGCAATTTAACTGTAATCACACCAAAGATTTTAAATGAGCAAACTGCTGAGCCCATAGCTAGTACAGAGCAGAATCAGTATTTACAAATCTGGTCTCGGGCCCCAGACTGTTGGCTGTATCACTTTGGCTCCGTTTACTTTTGAAGAGTTGGAGTGAAGTGAAACATACAGTAGCTGGTAACGACACTGCCTGGAGATGGGCCTGTGTGTTTCAGGAGTGCCGAAAGGACTGCGCAGCTGACCTCCCCGTGGGCGGCACTGTTTCTGGGGGTGTTGCCCGCTGCTTCAGAGACACTGGGGAGGTGGT